ATTTAAGGAAGTCTTGATTTTTACTATTTGCACAACAATAAAATGTATCAAGTTTTCCCATAGTGGCAAATGAGAAAATGATGAAGCTGATCTCCAAACTGAACTTTATTATCAACAAACTAAATTTACTACTGAATTTACTTCTGGTGTAAATGTCCAGAAGTATAGTCCATTTCAACTCTTAGACTTCTTCTTAGAGAAAAACTCACTAAAAATTCAACTTCTAGCTGTCTTCTGGTGAACCAACTTACCAATTTCATCAGTGAAGCCTTAGGCTCTAGCACTTCTCTTCATCTCTCTTTCTGCTGATACATAGTAGACTTTCTGGAATGTATGTTGTGAATTCATATGAAGCTGGCTCGCTAATAGCTCCCAAAAAAATGGAATTCCTACAAATTTTTTAATAATAGAAATACATTTATTTTAATTTGTCATCTTCAAGGATTTATATGCTTTCTTGCTGATACTGTTGGAGTTTCCTGTTGCTGCAGCTCATTTTTCTTGCCACAGAAAATAAATGTACTGTGCATAATTCCCAGTATTTTGTGGGTGTTTTCCAGATTCCACTCTGAAATGGACTGTCCCCACCCAAAATACTGCTCAGTCAACAGCAGCAAATGCAAATCAACAAGAAAATGTTACAACACACTGCTTGAACATTAAGATCTCTTTTCTTCCCTATTTTCAGGGAAAATGAGTGTTTGCTATCAGGCATTCAGAAATTTAACAGACTTTTCAACTTATTAAATTATTTTTCTTGCAAATAGAGCATAAGATTAAAAGAAAAAAGGTCTAAGCCTATTGAGTTATATTATATATAAAAAAAAAACATGCTTAACATTCCCTCTGTGCACAATTTTTTTTTGGTCTTTTTCATTTTAATTATAATTTATAAACTGGGGGTTCACAATCCAGCTGCTATAATGGGATATCCATTCCAGAGCAGCACTTGAATGAACAGCAGTCCAGCTGCAGCAGAAGATGTTACTGTTTTTTCCAGCTGGTCACAAATCTGACAATGGCACAGGCTGCAGAACAATGCAGGCACAGCATCAGTTACTGGAATAAAGGAAGGGAAAAGAATCACAAAGGAGGTTAAAAATTGATGGCAAAAAACTCTGCAAAAATTTTTCTTATTGAAATCCAAATTTAGCATAACTAAACAGTTCTGATAAATCATGGGTGGCACATACTACATCACCATGGAGCATAGAATGGTATGATGCTATTCTCCAGGCATTTTTCAATAATTTTACTAACTATTCTCTTTTGCAGAGTTATTTTCTACCTGTGGGTTTACATTGCATAAAAAACCTTCCAAGAAACAGGCTGGATTTTTCCCTAGAGCTCTTTTCCAACACATTAGATTCCTATAAGTACATGGGCGGGAGGTCAGCTATCACTTTTGGCCTGGCTTTCAGTCATACTAATGGCATCAGATTCATCCCAAAAGAGTAGAGAAGGGAATCTGATGTCCAGAGAAGTGAGGGAGAGAATGAGCTGCTGGATAATCATTGTGTCTTTACACATCATGTATCCAGACCACAACATAAATTCAATCAGAGTAGGGGAAAATGCACTGGGAGTGTCTCAAGATGATTATCAACATTACTAATTACCAGCATAATCTCTGAGTCTATTGCATTTCTATTTTTTTCACTGAAAAGATACTCTACTTCTGACAGCTCTTCTACAGCCAGCCATTTTGCTTAGTTCTCTTTGTACCATCATCTCTGAAAATAACAGAAAATAAGGACAAAGGAAAGACAGAAGCAAGGAAACAACAATTCTAGCAAAATAATCTGTAAAATAGCATCAGGAGTAAAAGGAAAAAAATACTCATTCTACAGAGTAGAATGATGGTAGGTAGGAAGGGAGGATCACCATATTGTCCTAGGTTCTGTTAAGAATTTTTCCCTCTACCTTTAAACTTTCCTATTAGTCTTCTTCAAGAATGGAAATGAAAACCAAAAATTGTAAGTTTTAAAATTCATCTGTGCATATTGTCAGATAGGAGACAGATTAACATAAGGCACTGTGATGAACCAGAAATTTCTTGAGGTCCATTCCAACTTCATTTCTTACAATCCCATGATAAGGCAGAATGTTATCAGAGACAGATACCAAACTGAGAAAAGTAACTGAACATGCTGAACAAATGTGGAAGACAAGATCATTCTTTAAAGAATTCTTAAGAAAATACTGTGCAGGATTTATATTGTGACAGAATGATCTAAGTGATTTTGGTTTACATTTCAGGATTACTATTTGCTTCACGTGAACTGGAACACTTGTTTCTGTTGGATGCTTCCCTTTTAGACAAATCCCCTGTGGCTTCTTTTCTAGATATAAATAAAATTGAAAAAAAATATGTGGAGTGTGGATGAAGGAGGAAAAACAACAGATCCAGACTCCCTGGTACCATTCAGTGGCAGAAGATGCCAAACATAATAAGTAAGTTTTACAACAAGCATTACCAAATAGTCACCTTTCTCATGAAAACTCTGAGGCAAGGAAAAAAAATGACTGTTTAATTCTGTCTCTTGATAAGCATTTTTCAAGAATCCATAAAATGTGGTTATTTACAATGTAATGAAAGAAATCAGATGTTCTTGCATTTAGCGCTAGTCTAAAACTGAGCATACCCAGCAGTAGGATACCCTAGTTGTGTAGGTCTAGCATTAAGACATGGCATCTTTCCACCTAGAATGCAGAAAGAGACCCAATCTGGTCCCTATTCTGAGGCCACATACATACAGGTCATTCATGCAAAACATGTCCAAAATACTGTACAGTGTCTCTTGAAAGAGTAGGTTCTTATTGGGAAGTAGGAAGAGTAGGTTCTCTATTAGGAAGTTTTCTTATTATCTGCCTAAAACTTTCCCATATGCAAGTAAGATTTTACTTCTTGCGACACTGTGAGGGAAATATAAGATTTTTTTTATCATCACTTTTCTTTACACCATCCTTTAAAACTTCTTATATATTATATTAGTATCACATCTTTCATTGCTTCCTCAGTTTTTCCTCAGAGACAATTTAATTTTTTTATTATTTTTGTTGCTGTTCCTTGAAGTACTTTTAATTAATGTAGATATTTTTGCTGTCCTCTGCAGACACAAAATATTCTTGGCCTGGGGCTTAAACATTACATTAAAAAAAAAAAAATCTGTTTCTCATGTCTTTTGTAAAATGCTGCTGTTATTAACCCCATAATGAAAGTACAGATGATATCTTGTTTTCTTATGATTAGTGTTTTGCATTTATGTGTTTCATATTTTCTTTCTGACTGATTCTTTTTTGAAAATTTTAGCAGACAATTTTCAAGTTCTTACATTTAAGAATTTAATAATTTTTCAGTTTTTCACTTGTCTATAGAGTATAAAATTATTAAGCCTGGACCTGTTTCATCAGCTAAATCACGTTTGAAGGACTAGCCAAGACCTGTGCTATCAGCTTTATATCTTGGTATTTTGGCTGTGAAGTGTTGAATATTCCTTTTTGATATAGCTTGTTGTCTGTCTGTTGTGATAGATGGATGGGATGACCTCTTTCTACAAGTTTCAGATAGATCTTCTGGGAAGCAGTTGTGCGTTTGAGAATGCATATTATGGTAATTGCTCATAGCTATCAAGGGAAATGGTTTTTCTAAAGACAAAAACTACTTGGCTTTGATTCAGTAGGTTTGTATTTTTTCAATATTGCAAGTTATTTTTCACCCCTTTTTTCATTTGTATATTTCTCATCTTCTGGGATGGACAATGTGAGAAGTATTTTTTACCTGTCTAAGGGCTGCACAGATTTTATTCTGTTTTTCTTAGTACATCTTTGTGGCTTTTGTTACCCACTTTGTAAAAAAGGACAAAGACAGGCTCCAGTCACATTATTTTCACAGTAAGTTTTAGTGTGCATAGTTCTCTGCCAGTGCAGCTACTTGATCAATATAGAGAAATGGTAAACCCTGTACAGCGGAGGTTGGAATTTACCAGCAGAGGGAGTACACCTAGCGTCACATGTAGAACAAAATATACTCTGATTTCACAATTTTGGACCATAGATTATACAGGAAAGTCTGAAAATACAAAATATAATAGTGTGAGTGGCAGCCTTCAAGTATGTTCTGAATATAAACTGTAATACCAAGTGTAGTGTAACAGAGGTGCTCTCTGTTAGAAAAGCAAGTTGATGTACCTTAAATTACTGAATTAATGAAGTAACCTGCTGCTTATGCCAGCTTTGACATGTCTGATAGAAATGAAAGCCAACACATTGTTTTCCTTTGAGAAAGAATAATACAAAATCCTTTGACTGAGACCAATGAATTTTTCCAGAAGTAACATTCTCATCTAAAATAATAGGTTCCATGACAACATAAAGACTTAGCAAAAGGAAATATATTGTGGGCAATAGCTTAGAGCTGTTACAGGAGAATAAAAAGGTCACTAATCCAAGATAACATATTTTTCATTTTTATACTCCAGTTAAAATATAGTATGGGAGTGATGGTTTATGTTCAGGATCTCTTAAGAGAAGTGACTTTGAAACAACATTTATTCTCCAAACCAGAAAACCCATAATGCATTCTTATTATTCTGAAGTCATAATTACAAAGTCACTAACATTTTTCATTTGATTTTATTTTAATATTCTGATACTTGGATCTAATAAGTAGCACAATATCAGCATTTAAGTATACTATCTATCAGAACATCAGAGATGACTATAATTTCCTATATTTTAAAACACTTAAGTAAAAATGTATGAGATTCTAAAAAAATTGAAGTAATTTATCCCATGTAATATTCAGGTTACACTGATAATGATCTTAGCTCAGCATACATAGGTTGTTTAGATCATATAGTAAGATGTATTACATATTTTTAAATTCTACCTTGAATCCCACATTGTATATGCAAAAAAAAAAAAAAAAAAAAAAAAAAAAAAAAAAAAAAAAAAAAAAAAAAAAAAAAAAAAAAAAAAAAAAAAGCAAATTATCATACCTTTATACACATCCCTGTGTTCTCATTGGCAGCTTTCACAGCACCTCCTGAATGCTCTAGCTGTATCTTCAGTATGCCATAAATACAGGTGCAAGAATTCACAGATCACCATTCCTCTTCAATCCCCATCCACTTATTTGTGCCCAGTGAGAGGATGGAGGGGGCCATGCTACATCATTTCTTAGAGCCCAGACAGGAGCCAGTGCTGAGCACAGGTAGGATCCAGTTCTTTGTGAGATGCTCAGCCTTCCTCATCTTTTCTCCATGAACTATCAGTGCCTGGACTTGACAACCTGTATCAGGTTGCAGAGCACGGCAAATATCTGTCGTCATAGGTTCCTGCTGCCTGAACACCTGTGCAGAAGCACTAGTGCCAGAAGGGCACTTACATTTCTTCCAGTTCTCTCAGTCAACAAAATTTCCACAGACAGCGTTGCCTCTGAACAAGCCCTGATAGAGCAGAAGCCTGCTGCAAGAGAAGTATGTGCCAGAATTGCTTTTTCAGCCTTTCCTTGATGAATAAGCACATAGAAATCACCCTGGAACATGGTTGGGTCAATGACAGTAAATACTGGGGCACATACCAGTATCAGAAAATTAAGTAATAATACCTACCAGATATCTACCCCTGTTAATGTGCTGTCAGGGACCAGAGCGATGGTGAGGACCACACAGATTGTCCTGAAGTCTCTTCCTGGATGATCCACCCACAGGAACCAGCACTGTCCCCTGAGGGGGCAAGACCATGTCCTGCAGCTGCATGGACTGTGCTTCATCCTCTTCTGCTCCATGTAACCAATGCTATTTTCTGGGCAGGAGATAGGACTTCTCTTCTCCAGACAACATAGAGAAGGCACTGCTTACTCTGGTTGTAGCTCCTGCTGCACCAAGAGTCCCAAGTGGAACTTTACCTTGATGGAGACAGGCCCCTTCCCAGCAGATGCCTGCTGCCAGCATGGCAGTCTGCACTTTTATGAACTCTCTGGAGTGTTTAAGTTAAAGTCAAAGAAACTAAAGTTCAATCCACACAGGTGTACATGTACAATCCTTTTGATATCACTAGAAAACAAGTACTTGGAAGACCTTGGGTATGTTAACTAAATTTTTAGATAAAAATAGCATGAAACCAATGTCACTGCATGTCTATGCAAATCAGAGTTGTATACATTGCCTTTCTAAGTATACTACTGACTTTTAGCCAAACATAGGATCAGAGCAACAATCACAACAAAAAAAGCTATAATCTTATCCCAACCACCAAAAAAAATGTACTCCACAATTAATATAGGGTAAATCTTCCAAATTTCAACAATCATATCATTTGTATTTTAAAACTTGAAGACTAATTAACCTTATAAATATTTAAGTTGGTATTGCTGGGGGGTGACACTACACCACATTAATGTCTAAGTCTTTCTGAAAATTTCAACAACTATGTCTAGATCCAGATTTTAGTAGTAAGCTATATCTATTTAGTTATTAAAGATCTAAAGGTACTGCAAATGAAAAATAGTTCAATCATTAGGTATGCAATATTAAATATTCTCTAAACAAGAATCTTGATTCTTGACAATTGTTCTAAAACTATGTTTTCTTCACCTCTACTCACATGTGCTATTCATTACTTGTGTGCTATACAAGAACTATATGATACTTTTAGCCCTGTGTTTTTGTCACCAAGTGCAAGTGCCAAGTTGTTTTCAGACCACCTGAGATAAAATCAGTCAGGCTTTTTGGAGTCCAAACCCAGCTGCATCCTTTCTGGCCAGCCAAAATAATTTAAAAAAAAAAATCTCAGCTGTCTGGTTCAGCCAGCAATAACCTCCCATCAGAGAGGCCAAAAAAAAAAA